AAAAAAAAATTAAGAAGCTCTGTACTGACCCATCTCACCAATAATTTGTAGTAGCAAGTAGATTTTTCTTTTGAGTTCTGATTAAAATTATTTTTTAGAGCATAATTTATAGATTCATTTTACCTTTACAACATTAATTTCAATTCAGATGGTAGTTTTTTCACTTTAGGTGAGAATATAAGCCAGAAGGGAAGTACATTAGTTCTTAATAGATTTTGATTTTGAGTATTGTGGGTTTTTTCCCATAAATTTTCCACACATGAGTTTAATGAAAACTCTTTCTGTAATTATTGAAACAAATTTTAAGCATAGTTGGTTCCATGTTTTTGTTTTTGTTTTGTTTTCCTTAACTTTTCTTTTTAACTGTTTGCTTTTTATTTGTCAGATGACTTTGATTAGTCTGGTCTATTCCCCTGCTGGTCTTCCCCTCCATGTGTTACTCTCATATTAAACACAGTATTTCAGAGAGAATCTTTTTATTTAAATGCATTTTGTGAAAGCTGGAGGTGTTTTTTACGTTTTAGAAACAAACTATCCAATAACTTTTTGAAATAGACTTCATTGGAAATTACCATTCAATTTGGTTCTCTTGTAAAGTCACAGAGTAAGGAATTTGATGAATTACAGGTTGCGTTTTACATCTTTCAGAGGGGACATTCCATGATTACTTTCTGTGCTTTCTGCTCTGGTAAGAATTAGTTCTCTGCCTCTCTGTCCTGTTACAGACTTTGCTTGTGTACTCTGAAGGGGGCTTCTTGTGGCCTAATTGTTTCTTTGTTCCAACTTGGAGTGTTTCGTTTGCTCTCTTCTAACTACTGTGCTTTTATTTTTTATTAAGGTTGGTTTATGAAGTAGTTCCTATTGCATTTGTAATTATATGTAAGTGTAAGACACCTGACAAAAACTGGATAATTTCTCTCTCCCCAGTTAAACATGTCAAGAAAGATGAGCGCAAATACTATGAGGAGCTCCTCAAGTACAGTCGCGATCATCTCATGCTGTACCCTTACCATCTGTCAGATATTATGGTAAAGGGCCTGAGGATAACACCCTTTTCATATTATACTGGGATCATGGAGGTGAGTTGGCAGTGTACATGGGCCATCACGGGCTACTTGTCAGGGACTGTGCCGACAGTGACCGGCTCTGCACATCTCAGCCACGATGGCCATCATTCTTGAGTTTACAGCAGAGAGGGGAGTGTTCGTAACAAGTTAACCGCTTGCACCACACTCATCTAAGCAGCTGCTGGAAGTTCCAGGTGTTCACAGCGGAAGAGTATCTGTTTCTCTTCTGGGTTCTCGAAGGCATTTGTTGACCCTTTGTGCTATTGTAGCATTAATGATTTATGTTAGCAGTGTCTCTATAAAACAGACTGCTTTTAACACATGATGAAGGTCGAAAATGCAGGTGATGGAACTGACCACCTGCTCAGAAAAACCATGCGTTTAACTCTTCACTGACTACAGAAAGAATTAATGATGTAAATACAGGTGTCAGAAACAGAAATATGTTTCTAGTTCCGGCCTCTAATTTCTTTCCTTTATTATTAACTTTTAGATGTTAGCCTTTCTCCAAAAGCAGGTTTTTAAATACCAGTTATATACTGTTTTTAAGTGAGCTGTATGTAAAGGTTGGCAATGTTTATGTAGTATTCATTTGCTACTTAATTTTATGTGAGTGCTGCTGTTTTGGGCCCACTCACTGCCTCCAGAGCAGAGAGAAGCCTAGAACTAAAGGAGTTGGGAACCTACGAGTAACAGTGAGGTTCCTTTCCAATGTGGCTTCCTTTGCAAGATGTCCCTTTGCTTTTCTCCCTGAGCCCCTTCTTCACGGGCACTTATGCTGTCCTGTGTCTCCCGCGTCCCCATTCGGAAGGAAATACTAGAGAAATATTGAGGCCTGACAGCCCAGGTTTCTGTCAGTTCCTTTTCACTAGAACCAAGGCAGCATAATGAAGGCGGTAGCTAATCAGTAAGTAGCATCGTTATGGCTGTCTCTTTATTATTTTGCTGGTATTGACCACAAGGTTTAGGAGAGAAAATGGAGGTTTTTCCTCAGTTACCCGCTTTCGGTTATATCCACGTGCTTGTTGCTCTCTGGTTTCTGTTCTTACACCATGGGGTATAGCTGCTGGGCTGAAAATGGGCCCTATCTCCACAGTAAACAGTTGGTTTGTTATTGGAGAAACAGATGGGAGTTGAAAAAAGCTGAATACTGCGTTTAACTCTGCTTCTGGTTGGGTCTCGTAGGAGCAGAGATGACTAAGTGGTTAAAATCTTGGTTGGTAGCACTTGTCTCAGATGCATATTGATGGAGCTGTGAACCATCATGCCCCTTGTTTCGGGGTACGCCTCTAGGGTTGGGTGTGAGGTGTGGAGAGGCTGGAGCCCAGAGCTCTAAATGCGGTATTCCTGGCACAGCTTCCAGAGGGCAGAGGTTACAGGGCAAATGTTTGGGGTTCATAGAGAGTGCTGTGAGAAGCCAGACCTGAAAGTCCGATCTTCAGTTACTAGGTTCGAACCACATAGTGAGTACCACAATGTGGCATGCGTGTTTTAGGTTGCAAACTCTAATCTCAGGGCTTCGTGCCAATAATTAATTATTATTCTGTTTGGCTGTAGTAATACATGTTTATACAAATTTTTATCTAAAGATATTTTGCATTTAGGATTTTTAATTGTTTTTTTTTGAAAGGACATTATGAACAGTGAGAAAAGTTATGATTCGTTGCCCAATTTTACTGCTGCTGACTGTAAGTATTTAATTATGCTGAAGGTAATGATCAGAGTCTGTCTTTCTGTGTGCATGCTATAGTCCGTATCATCATGTGTGTTTTTAACCTAAAACACTTGAAACATGGGAACAGCAGGCACCACTGTTGATAGGAGTTTTATCAGTTTTATACCAGTCAATTGTAAGATGTAGTCTAAATGTCTACGAGGAATATTTTGGAGTGGTAGAAGGAGAAAAATGAGTCTCTGTATTTCTAGAAAGTGAAATTCTTTCTGATGCTTGGGCAGTGTTGTGTGCCAAATGAGGGAAGAAGATTTGTGCACAGTGGTTTTGCAGCATTGACACACAGTTGTTACTAATACAACCTGCTGTGTTATGCTCATTTTAAGGAAGTGTGTATCTGACATGTGACACAGTTCTGTTGTGTAGGAAGAAACTTTTGCTGAGAAGGATGTCTTGACTTCCTGAAGTCGGGAGGGCTTCTCCTCTGTAAAAATTGGCCCATGTGACATTGTCACAAGTGTCAGCTTGAGTTCATCTTTCCCAGTTTGGGTTTTCTTTTATATTTCATTTGAGAATTCCTTTTAATTTGATATTGATTATCAATCAGTGGCCAAAAGGTGAACAAAAGCCAAGGGGTTTTTTCCTAAAAGACCTGAGTGTCCTGGCATTTTAAGATGCATTACGTGTTTTTAAAGGAAAGGCTTTCTTTCAGGTCTAAGGCTCCTTGGCATAGGAAGAAACCAGTACATTGATCTGATGAATCAGTGTCGGTCATCAAAAGTGAGTTACTTGTTTTCCTTCCTTTCTCGTTTCTTCCTCCTTATCATACAGTCTCATTAATTGTTTTAAGTGGTAAAAATAATGAATTGAATTTCTTCGATCAAGTAAAATATGCATAATATAGAAATAATACCAAAAACACCTCTTCGGTATTCTCTAGGTTATGCTTATGCGATAACTGAATTTTAAAACATTTAAGGAATAAAACATTTATTCTTAAAAATCAATTTTGCTCTGCTGGTCTTTTTACTTGCTGATTCCACTCCCAGGGTTCACTTAATGGTTGAAATGAGTACACATTTTTCAAATTTGTTTTCACCTCCTAGATTTCCTTTGAATTTCTGGATTTAGATCGAGACTTAATGATTTGTGTTTTGAAGTAATTTACTTTGAAATAACTTAAGAATGACTTTTTCTATTGAGTACATCTAGAGTACTTCAGATTTTAAAACATGGGAATTTAAAAAGGTATTTAGCCTGTTGGAAACAGTCTTACACTGTGATCAATAAAAAAGAAAGTAGTGATTTCAGGGTGACTGCAAATTCTTAAATGTTTGTACCGTTGCAGAAATTTTTCAGAAGGAAAACAGCTCGTGATCTTTTGCCAGTGAAGCCGGTGGAAATTGCCATAGAGGCTTGGTGGGTGGTGCAGGCTGGGTATATCACAGAAGATGACATAAAGGTAGGTCCCTTTAGAAGTTAAACATGACTTTTATGTTTTAAATTGTAATTCTTCATCATAGTTCCGTAATTTTTCTGAGAAGTAACACCGTTTGGTTTTCCTGAGAAAATTAAACTTAAGTTCAAAGTTAAATGACTGTAGTAGGGTAGCATATGGGTGGGTTTGAAAGACACTCTTTAATAATGAGGAAGACTTGACTTGGTCCATGTACAGTAATCTGGGGACTTTAACTAGAAGTTTCATGTGAAGTGAAGTGATGCTGCCATGACACCGGCCAACACATCTTGAGCACTTGCTGTGTGCCGGCTCCACCAGGCTCTCCTGCAAGCACTTTTATAGCGTCTCATGTGATTCCTACAACACCCCAGAGTGGTGTATTATTCGTACTCCATTTCACATAGGAGGAAAGTGAGCACGGAGAAGTAAGGTAACGGCTCAAGTCACAGTGGTAGCGAACGTCCAGGATTTTAACTCAGGCAGTTTGCTATGGAAGTTGTGCTCTTAATCACTCTGCTGAAGCGCTGTGCTGACGAGGTAGGTGCTTTGATGAGGGATAGTGTCAAGATCAAGGGAAGTGATATTTCCGGTGGTCAGACCGCATTGGAGGTAAGCCTTAGGCATGGTAGAAGAGATGCTAATTTAGAGGTAAAGGGGCAGGGCCGTGGACCAGAGGGCCTAGAGACTAGGTCATGTCTCTCTGTGGTTGAAGAAATGGAAGTGAGCAGGTGGACTTTTTTTTCAGTTTACATTTTATTTTACTTCAGAGGACAGATTAAATCCAGTGAGCAGAAGGCTTAGAAATTTTGCTTCAGTGTGAGAACAGAGCTATAGTGATGTACTTCCTGTGCTGATAATAGCCGTGTGGAATTTGAATAAACTTGTGATCTGAGAGATTCAGAATCAGCAAATGGATCTGATTCCCATTCAAAGAAGATGATTAAATATTGGTATTTATTAGGTAACACTACTTATCAGCAAATATTGGTACTTATAATTTGTCCTCGATTCTGTTGGTGGCATATTCTGGCACCTTAATCGACAGCTGTGTGCATAGGTTTTTCTTCTGAATTCCAGAGCAATAAGAGAAAAAAAATATGTAGTACATTAGCTAATGGCACCTAATATTACAAGCATACATAATAGATAATATATAATCATATATAATATCATGATAATCCTTGACTTAAACATGAAGAGATTTCAAGAGACTTATAAATTAATTTGGACAGAATTTAATTGAAATTATTTTGTTTTTCTTAGATATGCACTTTGCCTGAGAAATGTGCTATTGATAAGATCATCGATGCAGGCCCTCAGCTGTCTGGATCACTAGATTACAATGTAGTACATAGTAAGTGGTTAGTAGAAGTGGTCTTTTGTCAACATAAAAACGAATTTTAAACCATCAACAATCAATAGCAATTTTTATCAATCTTTTATTCACATACACTGCAAATTTATACAAATGAATCATAAGTAAAAAAATGTTTTTAATTTTGTAGTTCTGAGCATATGAAGGAAACAGATTTGAAAACTTTAATTCTTTTCCTCTCCTGTTTATTTTTTTTCTCCTTTACCTAGTATTCAGTTGTAAGAATCTTTGCAGAAAATCAGGAATCAATTTTGGTTTCTTTTTAAATTTACTGTTGTTTAGTATTCCATCTAAAACAGCTACTTTTGCTTCTGTAGGCTTATATAACAAAGGATTTATTTATCTGGATGTACCAATATCTGATGACAGTTGTATAGCAGGTAAGTATATGCTAACACTTTCCAGGGTTTTTTGAATGGTTACTAGGTGCTGCACATTGCATGTATCACCCTAATGAATTAGACACATAATCTAGGATCTATGATGTTAGAATCTTTCAAAGAAAGACATTTCTCTTTTGTTATGTTGTAACACATTGTGGTGGTTTTATTTAAATTCCTTATTTTTTATCTTCACGTTATTGTACATGCTATGTTAAAATAATGGAAGTCTGAAATAAATTTCTCACATCCTAAATCAGGTTAATGTTTTCGTAAGTTTATGTCCTTTTAGTCTTTGTTCAGTGCATAACTGTTTTTACAGATGTTCAGTCCTATCATAGCTATTATTTTAACTCCACATACCTGTCTTATTTTGTCATGTTGAAGTCATCTTTTTTGTCTTTATCTACTCCTCCCTTCATCCTTCATCCATTCCCTAAGTTAAACCAATATTAAGGCCCTTGTGTATTTCCTTATGGATGTATCAGTTTATTAGAACATCCTCCTATTGCTGGTTATTTAGGTTGCTTATAATTTTTCTTTTTCTTTCTTTCTTTCTTTTTTTTTTTTTTTTTTTCCTGTAGTAGTGATGTGCTTAACATCCTTGAACACAGTGAAGCTTTTTTCCTATAGGTTAGATTTTTTAACAAATTTAGGTTGTGTGTTACAGGTATGTTTTTATGTTTCCCAGCATATCTTTGAGCTATGGTTCTTTTTTGTTTTTTTAAGTTTATTTATCTATTTTGAGAGAGAGGGAACACAGGAGGGGCAGAGAGAGAGAATCCCAAGCAGGCTCTTCACTGTCAGCACAGAGCCTGATGTGGGGCCAGAACTCACAAACCTGTGAGGTCGTGACCTGAGCCGAAATCCAGAGTTGGAGGCTTAACCGACTGAGCCACCTAGGTGCCCCTGAGCTATCGTTCTTATTTGTTGGTATCTTTTATCATACTAAGATACTTAATATTTGTGTAATCAAATATAAATGTCAAGAATTTCCAGGGAATGACTTTGAGTGATGGTAGGGGCTTATTGCAGAAATACTCCCTCATGTCAGTGTTGAATCTTTACAGGTTATCATGCTGTATTGTATCCTGACCTTTATCTGTGTTACCATGTGTTTGCGATTCTTTAATAAATGGATTTTGAACCATGTACATACATGAATTCTTTAAATTTCGAAAGAAAATCAAAAAGGAATGAGATACCAATTCTTGTTTATATAATTGATGCTATAGCAAATAAAATACTAGTTTTACAATTTGAAAGGTTTTGACAGGGAAGAGATTTCTGGAGGACAGGGCTGGTAGTGGTTTCCTGTCACTATGGGAAAATATGAAGGCATTACTCTAGTCTTTACTGTTGTCGATCAACTGATATTGACTCATTTGAGAATCCCCTGAAAAGATAGGTTTTTGATGAGTTCATTTCAGTCCCTGTTGACTGATAGTTTGAATATTGACTCACGTTAGCACTAAGTGCATTTAAAAGATGTAGTCAGAGAAGGGCCAAGTGGATGGCTACTCCATTACAGTGATGGGTTCTGCCATGCTTTACCTACTGTCTAGCAATGTTTGCTGGTGCGGACAGACTCAGGCTCTTATTACTGCTGAATTTACCTTCCTTATCACCGTGGAACATGGAATGTTCACCAAATTGTAATAACCTATGAAAAGCAGTTTGACAACGTGGAAGCCATCAAATTCAGCACAAAAGACACCTGCAGTTGATTTCAGAGAAAGCATTTCAGCTGTGTTTCAACAAAACAAGCACTGTGGTTGGTGGAACAAATAAATTGGGGGAGACAAATACTTTGAATAGTCACTAAAGGGTCTATGGTTTTTTAAATTTTTTTAATGTTTATTTTTGAAAAAGAGGGGGGTTGGGGGGACAGAGAGAGGGGGAGACACAGAATCTGAAGCTGACTCCACGCTCTGAGCTGTCAGCACAGAGCCCAATGCAGGGCTTCAACTCACAAACCGCGAGGTCATGACCTGAGCCAAAGTTGTTTGCTTAACTGACTGAGCCACTCAGGTGCCCCTAAAGGGTCTATTGTTAAAATATGTTTAGTCCATCATTCATCAAACTGTATACTTGTTCAACTTATGTCTTCCCTTTTGCTTATAGATTCTAGATTTCTGTTATGCTTGAATAGAGTACTTTTAAGATATATGTGTATGTATATGTGTGTGTGTGTATGTGTATATATGTACACATATATGCGCATATATATGTAAATAGTCTAAAAATTCTTAAAAACTTTTGTCATACAAATTCAGACCTGTAGTTGGAGCTTATTTTTGTATTTGATGTGAAATAAGGGTCCAACTTGGTTTTTTTCTATTTGGAAAACCAATAGCATTTGGGATTCCAGGACTGTTTATTCAGTAACCCATTACCACGGGGTGGAAATGTAACTTTTGTCATACATTGAATTCCCCTCTCCACTGGAGCTAGTTCAGATAGTCTTTTGTCTTCACGGATTTGTTTTTATTTCTATACCATATTGTTTTGATTACAGTGACTCAAAATAATCTTTAATGTTAGTTATTGCCAGGGGCACCTGAGTGGCTTGGTCGGTTAAGCATCTGACTCTTCGTTTCGGCTCGAGTTCAATCCCTGCATCAGACTCTGCGCTGACAATGTGGAGCCTGCTTGGGATTCTCTTTCTCTCCCTCTGTCTCTGCCCCTCACCTACTTGCACGGTCTCTATCTCTCTCAAAAATAATACACTTAAAAAAAAATTTTTAAAAATATATTAGTTACGGCCAGGCCTTCCTTGTGAGTTTTTTATTTTTAAACTTTCTAGGCTATTCTCAGGTATTTTTCTTTATACTTATTAATTTTTATTAACATGTTTAAAATTTTTATTTTGTTATTTCTTTATTGAGATATAATTGACATACACACTGTGTTAGTTTCAGATGTAAATTGTAATGTTGATAGTTATATATATTGTGAAATGATCGTCATGGGTCTGGTTAACATCCATCACCACACATAAAAGCAGAAATCTTTTTTCTTGTGGTGAGAACTTTTAAGATCTACGCTTTTAGCAACTTTGAGATATGCACTGTGACATTGTTAACTATAGTTGCTGTGCTGTACGTTACATCTCCATGACTTACTTATTTTATAATTGGAACTTTGAACCTTCTTATTCCTTTTACCCAGTTTGCCCATCCTCCACCTCTCATTTCTGGCAGCCACCAGTTTGTTCTCTGTGTATGTTAGCTTGATTTTTTTCAATATATTTTTGAGTAGGCAATATTATGATATAATATTCTAAATTTATAAAAGATTATAAAAACATCTGCTTCTGACCCCTGTGCCTGGCTACACAGTTTCTCTCTCAGTGGCCACTCTCTCAGTGGCTCTCTTAAATTTCTTGTTTATCTTTCCAAAAGTATGCTAAGCACATAGGCATGTATGCATATATCCTTTTTTGTATGATTTTTGTTTTATGCAGATGGTGTGTTGTAATTCATACTTTTTTTTAACTTTGTATTGGAGACTATTCAGTATCTCTTTACCTAGATGTAAATTGTGTGTTTGTAACCTCTTAAGTGTCTTGGTTTCTTCGTCTCTGAAATACAGAGGTATAGTATTAGACAACTCATGAGGTTAAGAGGATTAGATGAAATTGTGTGTGTCAAGTACCTGGAAGTCATCTGGCACTTAGTATGTGCTCAGTAAATGTTTGCTATTATCCACACAGCTGATAGTGTAGGAAAAGAGTTAAGGATATCAAATAGGGGGTTTCTAAAATATTTCAAAAGAGAAACCATTGATCCTTAAAAGTACTTGGATGACTAGAACTATAGGTAACACTAAATTAGAAAATGACCTGAGGGGCACCTGGGTGGCTTAGTCGGTTGGGCATCCGACTTCGGCTCGGGTCATGATCTCACGGTCGGTGAGTTCAAGCCCCGAGTTGGGCTCTGTGCTGACAGCTCAGGGGCCTGGGGCCTACTTTGGATTCTGTGTCCCCCTCTCTCTCTCTGCCCCTCCCCTGCTCAAGCTCTGCCTCTGTCTCTCTCAAAAATAAACATTAAAAAAAAAAAAAAAAAAAAAAAAAAAAAAAAAAAAAAAAAAGTGGCATGAGCCAGATCTAGAAAGTGAATAATCTGTCATTGTGATTTTTTGCAATGTCTTCGTTTTGACCACTTAAGTTTTGTCTTAACTTCTCTTTGTTAGGAATAATTTAGGTTTTGGGTGCAATAGATGCTATTAGGTCCAGGAGACACAGGACGCCCAAGTCCTTTGATGGCCTAAATACTCTTCCTTCCCAGGATATTTTCAAGGGAAACGTGCACAGTGGAGAAGGGTAAAGGAAAGCATAGTGCCTCTTTATTATCAGCTGGGCAGAGTGCTCTAGTAAATTGGATTAGAGTTTCTGGACCAACGAGATGGAGAGAAATGAGTATGAATCCACTTTCAGGTGAACAGCACCTGCTAGGCTGCCTCCTGTGATGAAGAAGGTCTTGCCCTTCTTAATACTGAGGCCACCGAAGAGGGTATAGAAAGAAAGCCCCAAAGAATGAATTAGTGATTGCTGGTAAAAGTGGCCGTCGTGCAGGTGAATTTCTTCTCTTCTCAGCATGGAGCGGGGATGGTGGGAGAAAGGCAGCCAGTGCAGTCTTTGTATAGTCTCTCAGTCTTTTGCTTTTCTGCCTTAGCCTAGTCACCCCTGCTGTCTCTCAGGCATTACAACACACCCATTGCAGCCTTCCCCATGCGGAAGCAGCCCCAGTGCCCCTGCCTTTCTACCAAGTTCGTGTCCTCCAGCACTTCCTTTGCCTCAGTAATCTGAGAGTTCCATGGGATTAAATTAAATTAACTCTTTGTAGGATTTGTGCTCTACTGTCAGAGTCCTCTGTGTAGACTGGGTTGTAAATGTCCTTAACTTTGGGGGTTTTAGAAAACTTGCTGTGGAGTGGATAAAATCAAAAGCTGAATTCAATCTCTAAGGTAGAGGTTTTTCTTTTTGAGTAGATATTTGAATTATGCTTTCTTATTTTATAAAATTGTATCACTAAACTAAGTCTATTTTGTTTTAGTTCCTCCTCTTGAAGGTTTTGTAATGAATCGGGTGCAAGGTGATTATTTTGAAACTCTACTTTATAAGATATTTGTCTCAATAGATGAGCATACTAATGTTGCAGAGGTAAGCATGAACAGTGTTTTATGAAAGACTTGGCCTCGAGGTTATAAAATAATCTTTGTGTGAAGTAAAGTTATTTAATGATGGTTAAAGTGTTTTTGGAATCTATACATGGTAGATCATAGACCATTAATATACTTACGTCACTGTTCTTATTGTTACTTCTTGTATATACATACTGAGTTTTTTTTTAGTAATAACATAATTTGGTAAATAACTTTTTATATGACTTCTTGGTAAAAGGACTGTAGGCTGTTGATCGATACAGGCATTTTCTTATTTTAAATGAAACTCAATTAAAGAGAAAAGAATCTTCCATTGTTATGGTCCCTATCTAGACTCCTACTACTCTAAACATCTTAGACATAAGGAAAGGAGAAAGTTCTGATTTCAAAATTTATTCAGTCTTTCAGTTATTCTTAATTTAAAATTTTGCTCTTTATGGTTCAGTTGTTTATTACAAGCTGTGTAATATTGATAATTCTAGGAACGTAAATAATTTTTTTTTATCTTCCAGCTTGCAAATGTCCTTGAAATAGACTTATCTTTGGTTAAGGTATGTAATTTTTATATTCTTTTTACTTATAAATACTGAATGGCTTTTATTATAAGCCATTGATAAGCTACTGAGAGATAGAGACAGTGAGATTCTTATCATGCTCCAGGGGAGTGGGGACAGTAAAGGGGTCCTTGCAAAGATAGAAAGAAATAAGGATCCTGAAGTGGAATTTCACCCCACGCAGTGAAAGCCGGCATTCACATTCCTGTGCACGCAGGAAGCAGAGTGATCAGTGTCTAGTAAGGAGTAAGGAGGTCAGTTAAAGCAACAACTTCTGCTAAACTGCACCACTTCAGCCTCTTGCTTCGTAGACAGCGGCAGGCCTGAGGGTTGGGAGCATTCGCTCTTCTACGGATGTGAAGACCGTAGCAGATGAACAGGCCTACTGAAAAATGGCTTTTTCTAGTTATGGGATGAAAATGTGTGAGGATCACTGTAGGCATAGTCCACGGTTATATTTTCTCTCTGCAAACATTCTGATGTCTGGTTCATTGTAAATGCTAATTTCCTTTCCGTTCCTTTCAGAATGCCGTTTCAATGTATTGCCGATTGGGCTTTGCCCATAAGAAGGGACAAGTAATAAATTTGGACCAGCTTCATTCATCGTGGAAGAATGTTCCATCCGTAAACAGATTAAAGTAATTCATTTATTTAGTATGAGATATTAGAGTTTCCTCGTAGGAAAAAATACTGTTTTATGTACAAATATTTTACTTACCAACCTGTCAGTTGAGGTGAACCCTATATATTAGTGGTTTTTAATCTTTTTTTGTGTGATGAATCTTTTTTAGGATGATGAAAACAAGAACCCTTTCCCCAGAGAAAAGTACATACAGTATTTTACATACAGTTTTTTTGTTTTTGTTTTTGTTTGTTTTAGTATTTTACATATAGTTTTAAAGAGTTCTCAAATTCCCTGAAGCCTGTGCATGGGTCTTAGTTAAGAACCATTGCTGTATGTGGGCAGAGCATTTGGGGGCTACGTCTCAATTTCAGGCTTGAACATAAGACTGGATTTGGATGGATATTCATAATTTGAGTACCGACTTTAGTAGCTATTTTTATATAAGATAATTTATATGACTTTTAAAATGTGGATGTATTCTTCGTTAATAGGAGTACTTTAGATCCACAAAAGATGCTGCTATCATGGGATGGTGGGGAAAGCAGGAGTCCTGTACAAGAAGCTTCATCGGCTACTGACACAGATACTAACAGTCAAGAAGATCCAGGTTAGCACTTACTTGCTTTAATTTAGAGTGTTTGTAGATGATGGCCTGTGTCTATACATACGCTCACAGAGTTAACTCTCCTAGCTTTGTTCTCGGTATCATTTGTTTGGTACATAGTCGTTGAGTACTTACTCATATGCTGGGTACTGTGCTAGGTCTTAAGGGTATAAAATTGACAAGAATATGGTACCTTCCTTCTGAGAATTAAGTCTAGGGAGAGAGAAGGCAGGATAACCACAAAACCCACAGCAACGTGAGAAGTGTTTTGGTGCTTATGGGAGCAGAGGGGAAGTGCTCCCTTGTTGCCTAGAGAGGTTCAGGAAGCTTTCCTGGAGAGGAGGATAGTTGGGCTAAAAATGAATAATAGCTTGCCAGCTGGTGAGTGAGGGAAGGCCTCAGTATGGGCCAAGCACAAGGGGAGGCAAAGCTAATGGACGAGGGGGCTACATGTGGTTTATGTTGGGGTGGGGGGAGGGGAGCACAGCATAGGCTCTCATTCTAACCCCAGCCTCTTACCTGAGCCAGGTGACTCGTCTGAAGAGTTTAGGCTAGCTAGTCTTAATGTTCTGTCAGTTATCAAGTCTTGGTTTATTATTGGCTTTTAAGAAGTTTATTATAGGGGTGTCTGGATGGCTTAGCTGGTTAAACATCCGACTTTGGACTTTGGCTTAGGTTGTGATCTCGCAGTTTTGTGAGTTCTAGCCCCACATCGGTCTCTGCACTGGCAGCACAGAGCCTGCTTGGGATTCTCTCTCCCTCTCTGTCTGTCCCTCCCCTGCTTGCTCTCTCTCAAAATGAATGAATAAACTATAAAAAACAGAAAAGAAAAAAGAAGGAAAGAAATTTATTATAGGGGTGCCTAGGTGGCTCAGTCAGTTAAGTGTCCCGACTCTTGATTTTGGCTCAGGTCATGATCTCATGGTCGTGAGATTGAACTCTGCTTTTGGGCTCTGCACTGAGCGTGAAGACTGCTTGGGATTCTCTCTCTCCCTCTGGCCCTCCCCTGCTCGCACGTGTGCTTGCTCTCAAACAAACAACAACAAAAGAAATTTACTACACAAATACCTTAAAAAAATTTTTTTTTAACCTTTTTTAGTTCGAGATAGGTGGGACTGGGACCTTTTGGGACTGCAATATTGGCTTACATTTAGTTATGTAATTTTTTTAATTATCAAAGTTGAAAAGAAATACTTTCTCATTCTAAATGATAAGCAAAGAATAATTTTCATTTACTCGATTTTGCATTATGATTTTTTTGTTTTCTAGCTGACACAGCCAGTGTAAGCAGTTTGAGTTTGTCCACAGGATATACAAAGCGTATTGCTTTTCTCTTTGACTCAACTCTCACTGCCTTTTTAATGATGGGAAATCTTTCACCAGTAAGTCAAATTCTTGTTTAAATATGACAGTGTTTAAAGATTAGAATTAAAATAGTTCATGCTTTTAGGTCCCTTTTTAAGAATTAGATTAATTTCTAAAAATGCAAAATGCAACTGTCTTTGTTTTATATTCCTTAGAGGAGCATAGTAAGTCTTTAGTGAGGGTTACTTCTGTAATCAGAAGACTCAGCTTCACATGTCACTCACTTTTAAGTGTAATTATATTAGACAGCATAGTATAAATGTGAGATGTTAATGCTTCATATAAGAAGAGAAAACTAGGACTTATGAACAGTAGACTCATGTAAGGTGTTTAAGGTCCATTTTAAGTTTTTTTGTTTTGTTTCTATATTACAGAACTTGAAAAGCCATGCTGTCACAATGTTCGAAGTTGGCAAACTGTCAGATGAGTCTCTGGACAGCTTTCTTATAGAACTAGAAAAGGTAAATCTGGACTGGTCAGTATGGGATGTCAGGGCATTTGGAACCATTTCTTGATACAATATCAGTTATTGATTGTATAGGTTTTCATATATTCTTGCTCATTCCTGCCTAATTCCTCACCTTAATACTGCAACAGTCATTTAGACTTTAGAATATCAAGTGGATGACAGATTTTGTGATTTAAAAAGTGATTTGTGGACCTTATCTATCCCGTAGCGTGATTTGGTTTAATGAAATGGGGTATAGAAATAGTCTATGTAATTTTTTGAATTACGTTTTTCTAAAATAGCTTTTAATTTTCTTTAGTATGATTTTCCAAGATCTCCTTTCAGCTGTTTTATTTGAAGTTTTTGTTCCCTTATCTTAAATCTGAAATAGTGTCCCTGGGTATCATGTTTATGTCCACTCTCACCATCCCCTTATCCCCTTTATTATCTGGAAGACTTCAGCCAATGCTCTTAGCCACCTTCTTCCCCATGAGGACAGCCCTACTTGGCCTTAGCTCTAAATCTGGATTGCCCTTTTGGGGGTTTCCATTTCCTAGGTTTTTTGGGTTTTTGGTGGTGGTGGTTGTGGTGTGGTAGAGGTGTGTGTGTGTGTGTGTGTGTGTGTGTGTGTGTG